GCACAGGTCGAGTTCGGCCCGACGTACTCGTTCGAGTACAGCACGCGGGATACTTATGGCCCTAGCGTCCCCGGCTGGGGCGCCAGCGACCCGCTCAACGCGACCTGGTGGCATCTTGTCACCGAGGGTACGTTCTCCCCTTCCCTCACACCAGAAATTCACCGAGCCTGTTTTTCTTCTTCTCAGCGATGGAAACCAACTCGTCGCTTGTGACGACCTTCAACGAGCTGCAGGGCAAGGGCTCGGTGCGCGTCCCGCCGTGCACAGGCGACTGCATTACCGCGAAGATTTGTTACATCCGGAGTGCGTCGGCGCCGATTGCGAAGCAGAATTGTATCCAGGGATTCGGGTCGGTGCAGTAAAAAACTTAGTGGATGGATTTTGGCTCGTGTAATTGGACGCGGAATATACCAGTTGTCCTCTTGGTTGTCCTGCCTGTCGCTTTTTTTGGCGAATGCGCTGAGGTAATGAAGAGCGGGACGCCGGCCCGACTAGCCAAACTTTCGTTGCTTTCAAACCACCACCCACTGTAGCTCACTCGACGCTGAAGCGCATGTTCCTGACTCTGAACCACGAAACACTGCCCACTGAGCTCTGGATCGAAATTTTCACGCATCTGGATGAGCGTTCCTATGCAATCTCGCACGCTCCTTTCCAACTACTTCCTGGTATCGCGTCTGAGGCGAACGCGGACACCGCGTATACTGCGGTCGTCTTGGTCTGCCGGCGCTGGCGCATGTGGGCTACCGAACTCATGTACCGCAATATCAAGATCTCGGACTCGAATAAAAACGAGAGATTCATGGATGTTCACCGCGAATATGGGCAATGGGTCCGTCTTACTGGGTGAACAGAATCTTAGGATTGATACTTGAAGCAGGTCCAACGGGTAGTCTTGCCGTACTCTTCTACGGTCACTGAGAGCTTCCAGGCGATGCCGTCCACGGAGATACTGAGTCTATACCCCAACCTCCAGATCCTTGTCCGACCGCCGCATCGCCCGTTGTTTCGCAGTCTCACATTCAACTTTGACGCGACTTGTCCTCCGCTGTTTTCGCTGAGGCGGCTGGATTGGTGGAACCATGCGGATGCCTCGCGCTCTGGAGGGATCAACTCCCTCATAGCCGTTTTATGTGCTGCGCCGAATTTGGAGTATCTCTTCATCGGCATAGTGCGGGCCCAATTTTCGCCCTTCCACGGCCTCGGCGGCGCTGGCCAAATAAACCTTCCGCGTCTGCGAACATTGCGGCTGAGCACGGCCAACTCCTTCCTTCTCCGACACATCGTGGCCCAGTGGACGTTACCCGCCCTAGGACAACTTGGTCATGGACACGCCCATCATTGCCGTGGGCACGGACGTGATGTGGGAGTCGTTCGGGCCACAAGCTCAGATTACATGGAGCTCGGGAAGCACATACGCTTCCTGCTCGAGGAAAACATCGCGTCCTGCCTTCGGGGCTGTCCCTCTCTCCGCGAGCTCAACTACTATGTTTTCACCACGACGTTGCCACCGGTGGACGCGGAGAATATATACCCGTCGATCACCTGCATTGGCATCCACATGGTCGAGATTCCGTTCCTTGGGGAGCTCCGGGACGAGTGGGAGCATCTGGAGCGACATTTCAATGTTCTCGCTGGGACCATGTTCCCCGGCCTTCGGCAGCTCCGGATTTACGCAATCTCAGATCGATTTCTTTTGGACTGAGCGGTTTCCTGCGTTGCATCGGCAGCTCAGAGACCGTGGATGTATCGTTGAGATCGCGGAGAAAGTGAATGCTTAATTTATTTTCGTGTAGATTTTCTACATGCTGTCTACTGCTAGATCGCACCAAGCTCAGTCGTTTAGCCGTCGGCCACACACCCTTTTACCGACTGCAAGTCCCTGGAAAAATCGGATTAAATTGCCTTGCAGACAATAACCGGCGATGATCGCTACGGAGCAAAATCGTCTGAGGTCGGGCGGAACGCCGGGGACCGGGGTGGAGTGGGACGGGAACAGGGTCTGGTCGCCGAGGGCCATTACGTTCGTAACAATGTTATCACAATACCGGATGACTATATTATTGTACAGAGGTTAGGGGAACGAAGGACAAGTCGTGATAAAATCATGGAATTGCGGACCTTATAGCTGCGACGGCGGACTTGAATGTGTTGTACAAGTCATCAGAACTCTTTGGGTACATTAGTAGGCCCAACCCCACCCGCGACGAAAGCATCGCCTTTAAATTCTCCAGGTCGAAATAATCGCCGAGCGTCGCCCACTCCATCCAGAACGCTTCGAGCCGGGGGAGGAGGACGTCCGACGGGGGAACATCCGTTCGGAGTGCGCTTACGAGCGCATTGCTGATGCAGGTACTTTTTAATCTGAGCGAAATGACGTTCGGTGTGCAGCGGAGCAGAGCGTATAGGGTGGTCAACTCGAGCGTTGGGTCGTTGTTGAGCTCAAACGACAGATATTGGATGGTGTGGAGGGGGAGCTGGTGAAAGACCGCGAGGTGGGGCCAAATCATTCCCGTGCGACGGTAATTGAATGAGAGCGTCGTGAGGGCAGGGAGGTCGAGGTTCCCGACGGCTTGGATGAGCGCTGAAGAGATGGTGAGGCTGAGTGAGGTTAAGTGCGTGAGGGTGGCGGTTGTTAGTGCAGTGTCATCTAGCCCGAAGGTGTACATCTCGGACAAGTCGGCGGAGACGAGATTACTGCATTTCGCGAGAACCGCAACACCTGCAAAAGGTGGAGCTACGAGGGTGAGATGAGTGAGTTGAGGCCAGGGGATGGATATTGAATTGGGAGGATTCCAGCCCGCGCCCAGCTCAACGCGGCGCAGATGCGGCGCATTCATGAGTGAGCGCGCAACTGGGGTGTTGCGCTACACCGCCTAAGGAGGAAAAATAGATCTCCGTGAGTGCTGGTAGGGTGTGAAGGCGCTCCAGCGCCTGCGGTATGCACACCCATGTATCGTACATTGTCTAAATTGATAATGCGTAGAGACTGCACGCGCACAGCAACGTCAGGAAATTATGTCCGACAAGATCCTTCTTGTGGATGGCCCGGATTGAAGGCGAGCCAAGCAATCGAGATGGACACAGGGAGCGGTGCCGGATCGCGTAAGGCACATCCTGAGCCCCTGGAAGTGTTTCTCCGCGATCCTGTCTCTGCGAAAGGGCCCTCACGGCAGAAAAGTGACGGGTATTTATGTGGATGTGTTGGTTCCACAAGGACGGAGTAGAATGCACGATATTGCTCCATTGTGTGCATACCCTGGCCAAGGTCAAAAGTCGTTGATGCCAAAAATCGTCGGGAACTTTGTAAGAGGGAAAATTTCGCCGGCTAGAATTTCGGAGGGGAGCAAAGCAATACCACTGAGCGCGGGGGCATTTTTTGTGCAGTATTGCGGTGTGAATGAAGCCGTTGTTCAAGTTTCGCTAGCATAAAGAAACGAGCAAAAGGATGGTGGAAGGAGGAAAGGGGCCTAGGTTCGGGCCGAACGATATATCATGAACGGAGCCCCCGGCCCCCCGCGTTGCCCTTTCAAATTTTGCCCTTCTGCTTTGTGCAACGATATCGATAACTTCGCTCGGCGCTGAAGCTAGCATGTCGTTCACTCTCAACCACGCCGCGACCCACGCGACTTTACCCCCCGAGCTTTGGCTGGAAATTTTCGCGTATCTAGATGAGCGCTCGTACACGACATCCACATTGTATACGCCATTCCAGCCTCTCCCCGGGGTTGGATCCGAGGTGGATGTCAAGAGCGCGTACACCATTATCGTCTTGGTCTGTCGGAACTGGCATGACTGGGCCATAAGCCTTTTGTACCGCAACCTCAAGATTTCTGATTCGGATGTTCTGTGGACCCACAACCATCCGGAATACGGACAATGGGTTCGTCTCCGCGACCAAAGATATGCTGCAACATTCTCATGTTCTGACCAGGTTCAGCGGGCAATCTTGCCGTACTCATCGACGATGTCCGATTCACAAACCAGATTATCCACAGAGGTGTTGGATCTATGTCCCAACATAGAGGTGCTTATTCGACCCCAGCATCCTTCCCTGTCGAATCAATTCGATGCACTCTGTCCCCAGCTATCATCACTGAAGCGGTTAGAGTGGTGGAACGGCGGCAGCTTTGATTCCTTTCTCTCAGCTCTTTCTGCAGCACCAAATCTGGAGTATCTGTTCCTGGGTGCTCAAAAGTTCCAACCTATAGATTCCATCCCAGACCACACACCGGAAATACATCTCCCAAGCCTGCACACGCTACGATTACGAATCGGGTTAAGCCGAGCCAGCAGATCCATCGCTCACGCCATCGCAAAGTGGTCCCTTCCAGCCCTGGATACTTTGGTGGTGGATGGGCAAATGGGCTTGGACGAGGTCTGGATGTCGCACGGATCGCGACTCCGGGTTCTCGAGCTCGGGAAGGACACATCTTGGCTTCACGGCTGCTTGGCTCTGCACGAATTCAACTATAATCTTCCCATTTCCCCTTTGATACGACCCGGGGACTTGGCCTATTCATCGGTTACGACCATTGGGTGCCATGTAGCTTCGCCGTTGCCAGGATACCTAGAGCGGTCTTTTCTTCCCCTGAGGTCGTGGTTTCCCAACCTCCAACGCCTCCGGATTTACGGCCCACTCGCCGGCATGCTCGCGGATGGACAGTTCCGGTTCCCCGCGAAGCTTCAACGCGTCAGCAACCGGGGGCTATACATTGTCGAGATTATTGACAAAAACGGCCTAGTGGTGTCTGCGTACCGGCCGGAATCTTGATTCGAGTATTTACTTGACATTTCCCATTCATTTTGGCTGCCTGTTCGTACGCTCAAGTTCTTCAATCATTTGCCAGTGGGGTCAGAGAACCTATTTCAAGGATGAAAATATTGGGCCGACTTCGCGATGCTTGGACAGAAGACAGAGCAGCTCAAGTGGCTTTGCAATAATGACACTTGCAAAATTTGTTTCCCTTGTATTCATTTTTTTGGTGGCATTCTTAACCGCCACCATGGCTCAGTTGGTTATCCAGCTGCAGTGTTACACCAACGGGCAAGGGCTGGACCTTTGGATGTGGTCGAGGGTTCGATCCCCTCTGGTGGCAGAAGAGGATGTGGCGGGCCGAGCCGTCTTCGGAACTCGTCTTCGGACGAGGCAGGCTCGAGGTCAAGAATGGCGACACGCGCAGTCTCTTTCGGCGTACTTTTTCTTTTGTTCTTCTTTTATTGCACAGAAAAAAAACAATGTCCGCTCTGTATAGCGATATAATAACTAGCTTTCGGCGTTTTTGTTCCCGGCGACAAGAATCGAATTGTATTCGCGAATTATCTGCTTTGGGCGCGATATTTCTGATCTGTGCTCTATGGAGCTATCAGGAGGGCGCGAAGATCAGCGAAGATCCCGTTCACCGACGTGACGTCACGCGACAGTCACACGGTTCAACCTGAGCCACCACCTTGCCTCCCGCTGCGATACCTCTGCGATACCGCCCATATCTCCGTCCTCATGTCCCGCGAGCAGCTCCTCAAGGTTGCAGCTACGAACACCGTCCTCCTCCCCACCTACCAGGTTATCTTGCCTTGGATCCGGGAGCCCACCTGGCAGTCCGCGACCAATCCCGACAAAGCCGTTCGAGATCCATTACACGAGTCCGGAAAAACTATCCTCAAATACGCTCTATTCGAGACCTTTTCAAACCATTTCGAGCCGGGTACCATCACACCGTTACCGAGTTATTATTCGGTAAATTCAGGGCATACCCGCGCCTTGTGTCTAGCTTATCCCATTCCAGGTGTTAGAAGAGTGTGTCACCTCGCCCGATGTGATTTTCGAGATTCTCCGCAAACCCCGACGTCGTGGCGTGTCGCGACTCACTTCGCTGGGAAAGAACCGAGACATCGCCAACGCACACGGCAGCGCTTTCTTCATCTTCTTGGGGCTCTTACGGGACGCAAAACCTAACGAAGGTTTTACCTTTTGTTCGCCGGCTTTCTCCCCTTTTGGGCGGGCAATGCGCCATCCAACTGTAGATTCCATGACACTACCTCCGCTCATTACAATGGAAGTACGTAGCTCACTTCCAGTGGGCCTTCACCGACGGGGTCAGTGCCAGAACCCGCCCTCTTTGTGGAAGCGGTCCGAATAAGTGCGCACGGTTAGGCTGTGTTCTCCCAACGCCGGTGGCCTGACTTCCATCCACAGATTGATCGTCCTGCAGCGCATTTACAAGCACCAGCTTGACAAGAAGCCGAGAAAGGCAAGGAGCAAGAACCCAGAAGAGAAACAACTCTCAAAACTAATGAATTCAATGTCTCCCACGCCGCCGCCCTGTGCTCCCCCTAGTGCCTCTACGGCGGACGATTCTGACGAGGAAGAGGGCCGAGAGGGACGACTGATGCAAGTTACGATGAAGGGCAAGATGACTATGAAGACGCCGAAGAAGGGTCTAGCTACGAGGACGAAGATGACTACAACGTGGACGAGGACACGGACGGCGAGCGCGAGAACGAGAGTGTGGAATCCGAGGAAGATGGTTACCGTGGTGCCTACGACAACGATGACAGGTTCCGTAGGCGCTGATGCGTTTTGGGTACGTGAGGTCGCGCTAAAGGCCTGGAAATCTTCTTCCGCCCATTATTCTCAAGGTATGCGACGAACGTCGCACCTCACCCTTCCCTTCCTTTCTGACAACACTTCTCCAGCGAAAACGCCCTAGGACGGAAACGCAACAGGATCATCTCCTGCGGGAACCTGAATTCTACCCCAACCCTCCTCGAAGTCCACTTATCCCTCGCAATCTCGAAGACAGTACGTTGACGTGGCAAACTCTGTATAATTTGGTCTGAATTCAGATATCGCAGACCTCTACTCCTGCTTCACCTTTCCCCACCCGACACGTCTCTCTGTTCTCGGGCAATTCTCCGGCGGGCTGGCGCATACCCTCTGACTCGCGTGCTGATTCGTCTCGGGGTCAAAATACTAGTCCACAAGCCTCTCCTTCGGCGTTCCGGGGAAACTTGTCGTTTTGAACTGGCGGGGCTTCTGTTTCTCTAGGCTGGTTCCTCTGGCCCTCAAATATTCAAAACACTGGTCACTAGCATCAAATTTTCTAAGTCTCCAAAATCGGGTTACATACATCCTGTAATCATTTATCTTACAGTAAATCGATTTGGTTCATTATAAACGACTTTCTCCGCTGTTTTTACCTGCAAAGGTCGGAGATCTCCGGCACCCGGCAACTCGAATAGCCGCCACCTCGCTGCCATTTACCATCTCTACATGTCCCTCGACCACAGAATTCTTCCCGTAGAGCTTTGGCTCGAAGTATTTGCCCATCTTGAAGAACGTTCTTACGGTTACTCGTACACGCCATTCCAACCTCTTCCTGGATCTGCATCCCAATGGGAGGTGAAGAGCGCGTATACGTCTGTCGTGTTGGTCTGCCGGAACTGGCACGCATGGGCAATTGGGCTGCTGTGGCGCAACTTCAAGTTTCCCGATACAGCCAGCGCGCAAGCGGACTCGGACGACTTGTTGATGGACATTCAGCGAAAATATGGGAAATGGGTTCGCCCGACTCCTCCTCCTTTGGACTCTGGTTTTCTCAATCGTTCCTCAGGTTCTTCGCGTGATTTTACCGTACTCGTCGACGGTCACCGAGACTTTCAAGCCTATACTTCCAACACAAATGCTGGAACTGTACCCCAACCTCCAGATCCTCATTCGACCGCCGCATCGGCAATCCCCCTTTCAGACTTTGAAATACGATTTTGAGACTACGTGTCCGCCGCTGTTTTCGCTGAAGCGATTGGTTTGGTGGCACTACACCGATGCTTCGCGGACCGGGGGCATCAACGCGCTCCTGGACGTCCTCTCTGCTGCCCCAAATCTCGAGTATCTCTTTATCGGAGTCGAGCACTCGCAGCCGGCATATCTTCCCCACCCGCCCTTACTCCACATACGCCTGGCGAGCCTGCGCACCTTGCGGCTGAGCGCCGTTCATCACTGGGTGCGAGTGCTTGAGGACAATCCTCAAGTTGTCCCTCCCCGCCTTGGCAACTTTGATCATCAACACAAATGCGGTAGACGAACGCATATCCGTTCTGTGGGAGACCTTTGGTTCACAACTCACGGTCGTCGAGTTGGGGGAAAACATACACTTCAATTCCGCCCTATCCTGTCTTCAGCCTCTTCAAACCTGCCCATCTCTGCGTGAGCTTGACTACCACATCTTCTCGACCCCACTTCCTGAGACTGGCCCGGACGTTGTCTATCCATCACTCACGTCCATTGGCTTCCATGTGGGGGATTATAGCCCGGCTGAATGGGAACACTGGGAATGGGAGTTCTTAGAGAAGCACTTCAATGTGTTCATGGGTCCAATGTTCCCCAATCTACGGCGGTTCAGAATCTTCGAGATGCCGGACAAGCTCCCAGATCTGTTCTTCCGCCTGCAGGAACGGCTCACTGCTCGAGGGTTTGTCTTGGAAGTCGGCGGTCATTCGTATACATCAAATTAATCGAGTACACAAACGTTAATAAAATTACAATTTCACTGTCTATATGTGCGATTATATGCCTATCCCATCATGCCCGCAACTCGGCGAGCGAGCAATTGAAGCGGGTTCCCTTTTGCCAAACATCTAATTGGGGCGTTGACAATGGGGAACGATTCCCCGCTATAAATCCCGTATCTTTCCTCCAGCATGAGAAGTTCTTTGCAGCCTGTCGGGGCGGTGCCATGTAGTGTGGGCGTCGCGCCGGAGCACCGATGGGGAACCGCGACGCTGAAATCGACAATCTTCACGTTCCTTCCTGATAGGACGAATTGTCGCCCGTTGTCGAGGTCGCAGTGCATCACTCCCGCTGAGCGTAAACAGGTAAGAGTCCGTAAATCTTGCCATTCAAACGCGAACTTGCCTTGGTGAAGAGCACATGCAGCAACCATGACTCTCCGACTGCGGGTGGCATTAATTAGCGAGCCGGCGAAAAGAAATCAAACTTGGACTCACTTCTTTTCCTCGGGGGACGACCTATACTTGCCCTCGGTACAGTACTCTAGCAGCATGCATGCCACAGGAACGCCGTATACGACGCCGTGATAGATTCCGTAGAAAAAGGGAACAAACGTTCCCTGAAGGGTCTTTAACTCGTTTGCGTAGAACCTCGCCTCGAGCTCGAGGGCGGCAACTTCCCCTGCGTCCCGCGCCATCTTCAAAACGACCTGGGTCGACGGTTCTAGACCCGAAGGGATGGTGCGGAGGATGTAGACATTTTGTTTCAGTTGATGTTCCACGCGGGCGTGGTAGTGAACGGCATTTTTCACGGTTGTGCGCGCTGAGAAGGACCATGCGAGGCCGTCGCTCCATACAAGAGTAAATGACATGACGAGGTGGAGTTTTCAGGGATTGGCGTAGAGCAAAGTAGACGGGAAGGCGGTCGAGGGAAGGTGGCATCTGGGTCGGGTTCGTCGTCTTTATATACATGGGCGACATCGTAGGGCTTTGGGTGGCTTTGGGAATTCTGGTTGGCTTTGATCGTTTCCGGTCTCGATCCCTTTGTTGTTTCGGGCTCAATCGTGGATGGCCACTATGTCCCATTGTTCTGGGCCACTGGTCGCTAACAGTAAAGCAACAATTCGCGCCGCCGATGGAAGGGGAGGTTGTAGAGACCTTGGTCAAAGCCGGCGAAAGAACTAGACCGCACGAATGTCATCTATACCGAGGATGCGCGCCTCAAACCACAATCAAAATAACATTTCTTGTTCCTCCAGTTGCACATCGTCCAATAATTGCTTCGGAGTAAATGCGTATCTTTGAGGCGGCGAAATCTTGTAACGTTCGCCGAGGACGGAGATATGAAGTGGTTGAGCCAGTTTATACAGATGCATAATCTCATATGCATAACTCCCTCCCGCAATCGCTGCAGACCTATTCCCGGCGTTGAAATCGGCGTTCCCGAGACCGTCTTCGTTCCCGATGTCACCCGGAACTTTTCCCTGGCTACTTCCATGAGTAGAAAGCCATCGCACGGCGACTGAACAGGAGTACCTGACAATTGCAATATATCGCAGCGTTTGGTCAGGACTCGATATATACAGCCTGG